AAGTCTGCGGCGAAACGCCCGGCCCACCCTAAAAACTGGCCACAGGGTGCGACAAGGAGAAGTTGTTTATAAGGAAAAGGAATGGAGGAGGAGGAGAAGGTGAGGAAGAGGAGGAAGAGGAGAAGGAGGAGGAGGGGGGGACGGGGAGAAGGAGGAGGAGGAGGAGGAGGAGGACGAGGAAGCTGGCAGAGTGCGTGGCTGCATACGCTCCTCACGTTGGCGAGTCTGGCGGAAAAAGATCCGCTGCCCTCTCAGCACCGGGGACATGGGTCCTGAGGGAAACGGGTCCTGGAACCTGGGGCCCTCTTCCAGGACGGGCTCTTCATCCTGAGCCATTTGCTGACGGCCTCCCAGCCCGTGGAAGGCCCCGAGCACCTGAAGACGGCGAAAACCCTTAGGGGCCGGTTCCCTCAGGGCCCGCCTCCCCCATGGCCACCTCTGCCCCTCCACCCGGCGGGCGGCGCACCAGAACCACCTCCGCCACCGCCATGGACCGGCGGCAACGACAGAGGCGAATAGCCCAGGGGCGGAGCTATAGCCCAGGAGAAAGGACGAGGAGGAGCAGGAGGAGGAAGGAGGAGATGGAAGAGGAGGAGGAGGACGATGAGGAGGAGGAGGAGGAGGGGGATGATGATGATGATGATGATGATGATGATGATGATGATGATGATGATGATGAGGAGGAGGAGGAGGAGGAGGAGGAGGAGGAGGAGGAGGAGGAGGAGGAGGAGGCGAATAGCCCAGGGGCGGAGCCGTGACCTTTTCCCACCATCACACTGCGACTGCTCCTGCTTCTGCAGCACTCCTCCCCACCTCGAGCGAGCAGCACCGGGCCTCCCAGCAACGCAGGTCAAGGGGAAGGCCCTGCACCGCCCAGCGGCACATCGGCGGTGGACAAGCCTCCCTTTCGTAAACCTCCCCTTAGTGGAAACGGCCTGGGACCGAAACCGACGGACCCGGACCCGCAAACATGACGGACGCGACGCCCTCTCGCGAGCCGAAAACGGCCAATTCCTTAATCGACGTGTCAGGGCAGGAGGTCGATCAACCTCCGAGCACAGTCGGGAGCGGCCAAGAGGGGGGTGTCCAAGAGGGGGGGGTGCAAATCATGACCGGCGGCATGTGCGCGGCCCAGCGGGGGGGCCTGGGACGTAATAGAATAAGAAGAAGAGGCGCCATGAAATCTGCGGAAAAATCATGGCCCGCGCCATGAAATCCACCCCCCCCTAGTCATCACCCCCCTCTTTTCCGCTCCCGACACAGGCGTCCCCACCGACCACCATGCCGGAACACGCAACCTCCGAGAGAGAGACGATGCCCCCCTCAGTGGCCCGACAGCGCTGCGTGGCGATCCCTTGCGCGGCGCGCGCACGCCGGGCGCCGCCCACTGCCAGACCGCCACGCTCCGCGGCAGTCGTTGCGTGCAGGAGGATCTTCACGAGCAACCCCGCGGCCTTCAAGACCACAGACACAATTAATCCTCGATTTCCCAGAAAATAGGAAAATGTGGGAAGTGGGGGGGAAGACAAAAACCCAGAAAATATAGGAAACTATGGGGAATTACCACGAACATTATGGACGACTGCGTGCCTGTCTGCCCGCACATCTGCGGCATGGGCTGCATCAGGGCGCGCGAGCCGTGCGCAGGCGGCGGCCTCGAAAGCGCGTCAGGAGTAGCAGCACCTCCTTCGACAACGTCTGAATCAGCAGGAGGCCCAACTCCAACACTGAGGTCATTACCAACGGCCTCCGGACCTTCTCCGTATGCGGGGAGCCGCGATCACGGACATCTGCATGAGGGCGATCCTCAACGAGAGGACCACCATCATCGGGAGGGTAGACTTCATTGATACTTCCGGGGATGAAAAAATTCGCAGCTGAATTGAACGAGACGCCCTGTCCCACTCCAGCTAAATCGGCGGCAAACTCATGTCCAGTATCATTATGAATCTGATTGAGCCGAACGCTCAATACACCCGACATGCAAGGCTACCTCAGCGCGGCGCTCAACAGCGTAGGCTTGAAGCCTTCAAGAGCGGGAAAGAGAGGAGGAGGAACAGGAACAGCAACAGGAGAATGGGGGGAGAAAGAGAGAGGAGAGAGGAAGAAAAGGAAGAGGAGGAGGAGGAAGAGGAGGAAGAGGATGAGAAGGAGAGAGGAGAGAGGAGAGATAAGAGAGGAACGAAAAGAACGAGGAGATGGAGGAGGAAAAGTAGAAGGAGGGGATGTGCTGATAATGCTGGTGATGATGGTGGTGAGGATGATGATGCTTATGCTGATACTGATATTGTTGCTGATGATGCTGATGCTGACAATGCTGATGACGATGATGATGAGGTGGAGGGACGGCGGAAGAGGAGACAAGCTAGGATGATGATGAGCATGATGGTGATAGCGGTGATGACGATGTCGATGACGATGCTGATGATGGTGATGCTGATGATGACGATGGTGATGATGCGGATGATGCTGATGGTGATGATGATGAGTGCGATGATAAAGAGGCTGCTGCTGATGGTAAGGATGACGCTGTTGCTGCTGTTGTTGATGATAACGATGATGATGCTGATGATGCTGCTGATGCTGATGATGGTGGTGCCGCTGCTCATGATGATGCTGATACTGATGCTGATGCTCATGATGATGATGCTGATGCTGTTACTGATGATGGTTCAACTTATGATTAGTATGCTGACGACGATTATGATGCTGGTGATGATGATGGTGGTGGGGAGGAGGAGGAGGAAGGAGGAGGTGGCGGAGGAGGAGGAGGAGGAGGATAAAGATATGGAGGGGGAGGAGGAGGAGGAGGAGGAGGAGGAGGAGGAGGAGGAGGAGGAGGAGGAGGAAGAGGAGGAGGAGGAGGAGGCGGAGGAGGAGGAGGAGAGGGGGGGGGAGGTGGAGGAGGCTGAGGAGGAGGAAGAGGAGGAGGAGCAGGAGGAGGAGGAGAGAGGAGAGAGGAGAGATAAGAGAGGAACGAACAGAACGAGGAGAAGGAGGAGGAAAAGTAGAAGGAGGGGATGTGCTGATAATGCTGGTGATGCTGGTGGTGAGGATGATGATGCTTATGCTGATACTGATATTGTTGCTGATGATGCTGATGATGACAATGCTGATGACGATGATGATGAGGTGGAGGGACGGCGGAAGAGGAGACAAGCTAGGATGATGATGAGCATGATGGTGATAGCGGTGATGACGATGTCGATGACGATGCTGATGATGGTGATGCTGATGATGACGATGGTGATGATGCGGATGATGCTGATGGTGATGATGATGAGTGCGATGATAAAGAGGCTGCTGCTGATGGTAAGGATGACGCTGTTGCTGCTGTTGTTGATGATAACGATGATGATGCTGATGATGCTGCTGATGCTGATGATGGTGGTGCTGCTGCTCATGCTGATGCTGATACTGATGCTGATGCTCATGATGAGGATGCTGATGCTGTTACTGATGGTTCAACTTATGATTAGTATGCTGACGACGATTATGATGCTGGTGATGATGATGGTGGTGGGGAGGAGGAGGAGGAAGGAGGAGGTGGCGGAGGAGGAGGAGGATAAAGATATGGATGGGGGAGGAGGAGGAGAGGAGGAGGATGAGGAGGAGTGGGAGGTGAGGAGGAGGAAGAGGAGGAGGAGGAGGAGGAGCAGGAAGAGGAGGAGGAGGAGACGGATAATGAGGAGAAGCAGACGGAGGACGATGAGAAAGATACGAAGAGGAGGCAGCGGAAAAGGAGGAGGAGGAGAAGAGGATGAGAAGGAGGGGGAGGGGGAAGATAAGGAGGATGGAGGAGGAGGTGGGAGGGGTGGAGGAGGAGGCTGAGGAGAGAGAAGAGAAGATGAAGGAGGAGGAGCAGGAAGAGGAGAGGAAGGAGCACGGATAATGAGGAGAAGCAGACGGAGGACGATGAGAAAGATACGAAGAGGAGGCAGCGGAAAAGGAGGAGGAGGAGAAGAGGATGAGAAGGAGGGGGAGGGGGAAGATAAGGAGGATAAGGAGGAGGAGGAGGAGGAGGAGGAGGAGGAGGAGGATGAAAGGAGGAGGAGGAGGAGGATGAGGAGGAGGAGGAGGAGGAGGAGAGGGAGAAGACGGAGGAGGAGGAGGAGGAGGATGAGGAGAGGAGAGAAAGAGATGGGGTGAGATGAGGATCAGGAGAATAAATGTCGATACCACGGCGGAAAGTAGAAGAAGAAGAGGGGAAGAAGATAAAGAAGCAAACGAGGAGAGGAGGAGGTGGTGGGAGAGGAATTAGGAGGAGTGAGGAGGCTGAGAAGGGAGGATGCGGAGGAGGTGGAGGAGTGCAGTGAGGAGGGGAGACAAAGGAGGAGGAGGAAGAGAGCAGGAGGTAGAGAGGTAGAGAGGGAGAGAGGATAGCTGAGACAGGAGGGAGAGGGAGACGATATAAGAAGCGAGGGAGGAAGGAGTAGGAGGAGGGAGATGGAGGGAGGAGGAGGTTGAAGGAGGGAGGAGGGAATGAGGGAAAGGCAGGAGGATGAGGAGGAGGAGGAGAGGAGGTGTATGATGAGGAGGAGAGGAGGAGGAGGAGGGCGAGAGGAGGAAAGGAGGACGAGGAGGAAGAAGAAGAGGATGCTGAGGAGAAGGTGGAGGAGAGAGGAGGAGGAGGAGGAGAGGGAAGGGAGAGACAGGGATTAGCTTTTGAAGCAGAGGAGGACGAGAACGAGAAGGATGAGGAGAAAGGAGTAGGAGGCGGAGAAAGGAGGAGGAAGTAGGAGAGGGAGAGGAGGGAGGGGGAGGCGGAGGAGGAGGAGGAGGAGAAGAGAGGAGGTGGAATAGGAGGGAGGAGTAGAGGAGGAACAGGAGGAGAAGGAGGAGGAAGAGGAGGAGGAGGAGGAACAGGAGGAGAAGGAGGAAGAGGAGGAGGAAAGCGAGAATGTGGAGGAGGGAGGAAGGAGACGAGGCCGCGCAGGCACCGCGCCCCTAGCGCCCGGGCGGGGGGAACAACCAGAAAGGGAGGCGGGAAGGCGCCCGTCCTTGACGCCCGCGACGAGGGGCACCGCCAGCAACATGCCTTGGGCGGGGGAAGGCTGGCAGGGAGGAGGTGTTCGGAGGGAGGAGGGAGGTTGCGGAGGAGGATAAGGAGGAGGAGGAGGAGGAGAAGGAAGACGACGAGGATGCTGATGATGATGATGATGATGATGAGGAGGAGGAGGAGGTGGAGTGAGGAAGAGACCAACCACAACATCATTATTATCATCAACACCATCATCACTATGATCCGTAATGATCCGTATCCCCATAGTCATCATCATCATCATCACCATCATCAACAACATCCTCGTCAACAAGACCACCCTCACCTATATCCCCAACGTCATTACCATCACCCTCGCCACAACCATAGCCACACACATCAATATTCACCATCATCATGACCATCATCATCACAACCATCAACATCACGAGCGCGAAACCACAATCACAATAACCATCACCAATACATCGTCATCATCGCCATCATCAGTATCATCGGCATCATCATCATCATCATCATCATCATCACTACAAACATCACTACCATCAGCATCAGCAGCACAATCATCATCATCATCATCATCATCATCATCATCATCATCATCATCATCATCATCATCATCATCATCAACATCAGCATCATCCGTATCATCGTCGTCGTGATCATCAGTAACATCAGCAGCATCCTCATCATCAACATCATGATCATCACAACCACCACCATCACTGACATCATCATCTCATCGTCATCGCCATGATCACCATCATCAGCATCACCACTCTCTTACCATCACCATCTCCATCCTCATCCTCGTTCCAATCGTCCTCATCACCCTCATCATCATCACCATCATCATCACCAACAACATAATACTCACCATCACGCACGAATGACGAGGAGGGATAAGAAGAGGGAGGAAAGGCACTCCCACAAGCGACGAACGTCGTTCACACGAGGGCGCGCGCACAACCACCGCGGCGCCTGGAAAGGGGTCGCTGCCCTGCAAGCGGGCCCTGACCACTCCTGACCTCCCTGCAGAAGCACGGGCGCGACCACGTACTTAGATGCGGAGGAGGAGGAGGAGCAGGAGGAGACGTAGGAAGAGGAGGAGGAGGAGGAGGAGGAGGAGGAGGAGGAGGAGGAGGAGGAGGAGGGAGGAGGGGGAGCAAGAGGAGGAGGAGAGGGCGAGCTTAGGGGAATTTTCGACCAACATGTATCCTCGGTGTTGGCCCCCGGGGGGCCACTTTCGGGGCCTGTTTCGGCCTTAGGGCCATCACACATGTGACCGGGACGAAATACTACCTCCAGGCAAGTGTGTCCTAGTGTTCCTCCCTCGTCCTCCTCCTTCCCTCCTCCTTCCCCTTCTCCTCCCCCTCCTCCTCCTCGGGGGCTCCTGACCCACCTCCTCATCCTCGCCCCCTCCTCGTCGTCCACGTCCTCCTCGACCTCCTCCTCTTCCTCCCACTCCTCGTCCAATCCTTTCTGTCGCCCTCCTCCTGCTTGAATCCTCCCCCTCCCTCATCCTCGTCCTCCTCCTCCTCTTTCTCGCCAGCGCGTCCTCCTCGGCGCGTCCTCCTCGGCGCGTCCTCCTCGGCGCGTCCTCCTCCTCCTCCTCCTCCTCCTCCTCCTCCTCCTCCTCCTCCTCCTCCCCCTCCTCCTCCTCGTCTTCCCTCGTCCTCCTCCATCCGCCAGGCCCCGCACGGGCACGAGGGGGACCAGGAGGAGGAGAAGGAGGAGGAGGTCGAGGAGGAGGTGGAGGACGAGGAGGAGGAGGAGGATGTTGATGTTGATGTTGATGTTGATGGTGATGATGATGATGATGATGATGATGGTGATGATGATGCAACTGATAATGATGATGCTGATGATGCTGCTGATGATGATGATGATGGTGATTATGATGATGATGATGATGATGATGATGATGCTGATGCTGATGCTGCTGCAGATGAGATGTTGATGGTTATGTTGATGCTGGTGATGATGATGCTGATGATGATGGTGATGATGATGATGAGGATGATGATGCAGGTAACATTGCGGCGCAACGTCACGCTCTAGCGACAGAGGCGCGACGCCGCATGTGCACGAGGTCTGTCAGGTCACTAAGTTCATCATGCTGTCGTGGTTGTATATGCCGGAGGGTGTCGCTGAGGTGCGAGTGTTTCATCTTGCCGATGATGATGATGATGATGATGATGATGATGATGATGATGACGATGATGGTGGTGGTGATGATGCTGATGCTGATGATGATGCCGATAATGATGATGAGGATGAGGAGGAGGATGGAGGAGGAAGAGAGGGGGGGAGGAAGGAGGAGGAAGAACAGCGAGGGTCAGCAGGAGGCGGATGAGGAGGAGGAGGAGGAGGAGAACGTGGAGGACGAGGATGACAAGACGAAGAGGGTGGAGGAAGAGACAGGTGGGAGGAGAAAGAGGGAGGAGGAGAAACAGGAGCAGGAGAAGGAGGACGAGGAGGTGGAGTGAGGAGGACCGCGCCTGCCTGTCGGTCCCCAGATGAATCCGAAGAGGGTCACGGCCAGCAGAATGATGACGGGGTGCATCTGCCGTGGCGGCGGCGGGATTGGCCCGACGCATCAGCACACAGGAAACGGGCCCCGGAGGATCGAGGTCCGAGGACCGAGGTTCGAAATGGTCGGACGCGTGACCTGTCCCTGCTGAGGCGTTTTCGTCGCCACGGCGGAATCCGCTTCGAAATCCGGGCCAGAACGCAACCCAAGATGGTCGGAGGTGGTTCGAACTTGCGCCTCCTGAGGCGTTCTCGTCGCCGTGGGCTGGATTCGCCTCGAGATCCAGGCCACAACGCAACCAAAGAGAGACCCGCGAGCAGATGTTTCTCAGGGCCATCGTATGGAGGTTGAGGAGGAAAAGGAGAGGAGGAGGAGGTGGAGGAGGAGGAGGGAGGAGGAGGAGGAGGAGGAGGAGGGAGGAGGAAGAGAGGGAGGAGGAGTCTTTACCGTCTTCGGGCCCCCTGGGCCCCTAAACGGCTGTTAGACATAAAACAACTGCCAAGGATGAAGGACTGGTCCCGGGATTAGCCCTGGGCCCCGTAACCTTCCTAACCTCCGAGGGAATCAGCAACATGTCCCAAGAGGTTGTCTTGCGCTACAGGTGGGGTCCGCGGAACAATGGATGATTGAACGTGAAAGCCAGCATCGCGTCTCAACTTTTGAATACCCTGGAGTCGGGGACTCACAGCGATTCAAGTGCGATGTGTGATCGCATTTTAACCGAGCTTTGATGCCTCTGCAGCGCGTGATTGCACACACGTTGCACGAGTAGCTGCAGGTGTGCACGCATGCATGCATGCAGACTTTGCGTGGATCTGCTGCGCGAACGGAAGCCACCGAAACTCGAGTGCACAAGTCAGCAGACACGGCCTAGAGCTTGGTGGAACCCAACAACTGCGGTAGCACAACTTGAGATTGGAGGCTTGGATCTGAACACCAACACCAAAACAAGGGGTTGCCTCCACCGGGGCAAGATGGTCCTAGAATTTGGTGTTGGTGGTAATCTCTCTGCCGCCCAGGAAGCACTTATATTACCACCATGACCGAGATCAGGATCATGCACCCTCGGTGGAGGCATACCGCCGATATTGGTGATGGTGACGACTTCGAGGCCTCAGATTGAGAGCTCTTTGGGTTGCACTTTCTTTCGAGGCCCCTTCCCCTGACGGTGAGACGAACGGGCGGCCGACAGATCGGACAGGGCGGGCCCCCTCCGGGACACGGGAGGCCCCAGACCGAGGCCAGAAACGCTTGAACGCTAAGCGTCTTTGTTCCGTGCCCAAGGGGCAACGGTAGGGGGGGAGATAGGCATAGGGTGGGATGCATCGATCCCAAATCGCCCATTGATCGCCGCTAGGGACCCGATAGCCCCACCCCGCCCAGGAAGGTGCGGATTCACGATCGGAAGCCTATCGCCGATCTATCGGGGATGTATCGCCGATTCCAGGTCGATGCGTCCCCCCCTGGGCCTATCCCCCCCCGTCGTTGCCCCTCATTTGCTGTGCGCTCCCGCCTTTTCGGATGCAAGAAACTCGAAATGAGGGGGCGGACGGGCGGAAGTGTAACGGCAACGGAGGCCGCGCGTGCACGCGCCAGGTTGCGTCCTCGCCACCGGCGCATCAATCGCCCGTGTGCACCAGAGTCCCCGTGTACACGACAATGCCCAATGCCTGCGTGCAACTCAGCGCCACCTGTGTACGCCACAATGCCTCCGTACGCCACAACGGCCGCGTGCACCGCAGCACCACGTCGCCTACGTTCACCCCCCTGCTTGTGTAAACTGAAGCCCCCGCGTGCGCAACTGTGCCTGTGTACACCACATTGCCTGCGTGCACCAGAGCTGTGCGCACCACAAAAAGGGTGTAGACCACAATAACCATTTGCACCGCAGCGCCTGTGCACGCCACAATGCCTCCGTGCACCACAATGCCTGTGCACACCAGGACGCCAACGTGCCAGCGAGCACAGTCGTAGCTTGTGAGGTCTCTTTGCGGGGCTCGCTACAGACCACGGAGACCCTCAGGACTCGTCATTCGTCTCCTCCTCCTCCTGCTAAATTTCCTCCTCCCTCTTCCTTTTCCTTATCGCCCCGTCGCCGCCAACAAAACCATAAGAGGCACCGACCGGAAACGGCCGACTCATCCTTTCCCTCCTCCTCCTCCTCCTCCTCCTGCTCTTGGTCCTTCTCCTCCTCGCCTCTTTGCTGGGCCCGCCGCGGCAATGAGTCCGCCTGATCTATCCGCATCAGAATCTCCGTTGAGAGATGGAAAAAACGACCCTACCCTGGGTTACAAGTGCGTGGTACGTAAACCTCCTGGGAACCCCCAAAGCCTAGAGCCGCCAGGACGCGGCACATCACGCAGGGTTTACCCTGTCAGCCCACAGGAGTTTCAGCGCAGAGCGCCTCGTAAACTAGAATAGAGGCGTTTTTTATGCCCTTGGCTCCTGCAAGCCCCACAACACGCACGTGAGCACGGAAAAATGCCTTTCGGTACCACACCATGCCTGTGAGCTCGGCGCCGCAGCAGGTGGCGAGACTGCAAGCGCCGCGACGCTTTTGCGAGCACCAAAGAATGCCCTGCAGCACCCCGCTATGCTTGTGAGCACAGCGCCATACCTGCGGGGGGTCCACCCCCTATGATGGGCTTGTTTTCCACCATAAGTTAGAGGGGTAGGGGCTCCTCATCCTCCTCCTCCTCTTCCACCTCCTCCTCCTCCACCTCCTTCCCCCCTCCAACTGATGGTGGTTGTGGTGGTGGTGGAAAACAGGCCCATCACCCTAGCATGTAGGGGGGGTCGAGGCCACCCCGCCCAATACGAGCGTTAGCGCTACCCGGAGGGGGGAGCGGGGGGGCGGGTAACGAGCAATTGCGCTGGGGAAGAAACAAACGCTCTCTAAACAAATCCCAAGGAGACCCCAAGAGACGCCTATTAGGGGGTCCAACGAGGCTATTCACCTCACCGATCCTGGCATTCAGACCTGCCAAACAAGCCCCCAAGAGTGCCCGGGCGAATGCTCAGACGACACACCTGGGCAAACGAGCGCTCCTTCCTGCGTCTAAAGGGACCGGAAACTGCACAAACATAAACTTTCGGAGATCCGCGCAGATCGCTTGGATCTGCGCTGGGCCCCCCTCCCTGCCACGCGGGACGCGGCGGGGGCGGCGTTGGAGGCGCCGAGATCGAGGTCCAGCGCAAATATCACACAAATCCGCGTGGACCTCCGAACAAGATGGCCACTTGCCTTTTGAAGTGTCACCCGCTGCCGGGCATATTTCACCCATGCCTTGGGGCCTGAGATTGAGGATCAACCACGGGGGACCCGGATCAACCACGGGGGACCCGGCGAGTCACACGCACACACCCGCACGCAAACACACACACACAAAAACACGGAACACACACAGAGCACACAACACACAACACACACACAACACACACACAACACACACGACACACACAAACACACACAAACACACACACACAAACACACACACAAACACACACAAACACACACACACATACACCAACACACACAGACATACAGAACACACAAACACACATACAACTCACACACAAACGCGCACACACACACACACACGCAACACACACAAACACACACAAGCACACACAAAACGCACACACACAAAACGCACACACACACACACGCACACACACACACACACGGAAACACACACACACACACACGCACAAACACATATTGTTTATTCTTATTATTTTTAACAGCCGCAGGCGGAAGCGCCAGCGGCGGGCGGTCGCGAACGGGCCGCGGACGCGACTAAATTACCTGACGCGCGCGGGGCCGCGGATCAGGCGGCACACGACAGCGTCCAGGGCGGCGGAGCCGATGCGATCCAGGAACCAGAGACAACCCCAGAACGGGCATGCAGCGGTGCGTCCAACAGGCCTGAGGTAGGCACCGAGGAGACCAAGCGCAGCCAAAATGGCGCGAGAGGCGTTCCCAAGTCCAAATGCGAACGAGAGGAACGTTCCCGAGGACGACGATCCAAACCTGACGGGTAGCACAGACCGCCTGGAGATGTAAGTCCAGCGGGGATCCCGACGGCGGCAACGAGCCGCGACGCCAAAACGGCATCCAAAGTGTGAAGCACGTTGCCAAAAAAACTTCAACACCGAGATGCTCCAGCCCAGACCCAGCGGGTGGAAGGGCGTCTTAGTGCACGCTACACGGTCCAAACGCGGCGTGTGCACATCACAGCGTCTCAGTGCAATCCAGAACGAGTCGGAGAGCACACGCGGGACGAGACCGCGTATACCCAGGCACGTCCCTCAAAGCCACCGATCCAGGGTCACGGCGGAAGGCCGTCCAGCATTGAAAGTTCCCGAGGACACCGATCCAGGGAGCCTGCCAACCACAGACTGACTGGGGACAAAGGTCCGGCGGAGAAAGCTGACGGCGAACCGAGTCGCGACGCAAGAAAGCGCATCCAGGGTGTGGAGCATGATGGCAAGAGTACCTTCCACAACTGAGATGCGCCAGCCCAGACCCGACGAGCGGAAGGGCGTCGGAGTGCACGATACACGGCAGACCCCGAGGAGTATGCACAACTAAGGTGTCTCAGCGCTGCCCAAAACGAGTCGTCTAGCACCAAGGGACGAAAACGCCAGGTACCCAAGACGCGCCCCTCAGAGCCACAAGGATCCAGGATGACGTCGGAAGGCCGAGCTGCTTGTTTATCGAAGCGGTAACGAGGGGCGTGTCTTGGTCATACGATGGTCCCCCCTCGGGTGCTACCAGACTCGTTTGGGTAGCACTGAGCGCGGCGAGAGCACAGCCAAAGGGACACAGAGCTAACCAAACGAGCCGGATAGCACCCGAGGGACAAGATAATCGAAAACCCAAGACGCATCCCTCAGAGCCACTCCGATCCAGGGTCACGGCGGAAGGCCGTACAGCAATTAAGAGTTCCCGAGGACAACGACCCAGGGAGTCTGACGGGTAACACAAACTGACTGGGGAAATAAGTCCAGCGGACAAAACTGTCGGCGAA